TACGTATCTATCCTTACCGTATATATTATAGTGCCTGCAAGAGTATACGGTGCAATAAGTATAGTGCTAGTCTCGCTAGTCTCGCTAGTAACTTCTCGCTAGTAACTTCTCGCTAGTATTAGTAACTTCTCGGGTTTCGGAGGCGGTTCTTAGTGCCTAAGGCGGCCGTCGTTATCGTATTAGACACTTTTGTTAGCGCTATTTACTAGAAATGCGCGCAATCGGCGTATCTCGCTATATTAGTAATATACTATTATAAAAGTCGTAAAAGTCGTAAAGTCGGTATTATAAATACGCGGAAGGAAGCAGCTATAACGTTTAATCCTACTAATTAAGCGCTCTACTATACTAAATCCGGGGTCTTAGCGGGACTCGGTATCCTTATCGCTTCCTCGAATTTACGCTTCTCGCCTAGCTCTTATATACTATCGATACCTACGACTATCTACAAACCCTCGTCGCAAAGGATACAATAGAAGAGCCTACTTAGCGAGCTTATAAGGACACGATAGAAGAGCCTGCTTAGCGAGCTTATAAGGACATAATAGAAGGGTAGTAAGGAAGGACCTTATTAAATGCTATCTCTAGCGCTATCTCTAGTGCTAATTCTAGCGCTATTTCTTCTAGCGCTATTTCTAGCGCACTCTAGTCTGTATGCTCTACTACCTACTCGGCAGATACTAGGACAAGATATCGTCGTCAACTCTACTACTACGGCTACTTACTACACTTAAGCTTCTCGTACGAGCACCCTCTCTATATACGCTCTCTCTACGCTTAGTAACGCGAATATTACGGCCACTACGGCGGCTTATATAGGCCTAAGTTAAAGCCTCTTCTGCTTAAACTATAGTTATAGCCTCTTCTTCCTCTAAAGGTGCGGCACTAGCGACCTTAGTAGTAGTAGATCCTACTTTAGAGGAACCTAGTTAGGCTTAAGGCCGAGCAATAGCACTACGACGTCCCTTCTGTTTCTTCTTAGGTCGAGTACTGCTCTAGATAGCCGGCTCCTCGGGGCTAGAGTTACCTAAGTTACTACTATCGCCTAGTACGCTAGGAGTAGGAGTAGGACTAGGAGTAGGACTAGGACTAGAGGCTAAAGCATTCTTAAGTTAGATACTAGACTAGCGAATAGTATTAGCAAAGGCAGAGCGCCGTAGAGACTAGTCTAGGTTTTGTCGAGCCTATACTATCTGCTCTAGGGTCTAAGAGATAACTAGTTAAGCTGCTTACTCGCTACGACTATCTAAGCTATCTAATGTAGCGGCGGCAGCGGCGGTAGCAGTCTTATCCTTCTTCTAGGCCGCGACTTGCTTAGCCTTCTTCTCGGCTTTAGCTGCCTCCTAATCGGTATAGATATCCTTAGCAATGCTAATAAGGATAGCGAGCAGCTTATTAAGATTATCCTAGTATTCCTACTCTGCTAACCTAGGTGCAGTCCGTATTAGATTTTCTATGTCGAAGTTTATACTCTTATCCTAAGCGTTATACGACCGAGTAAGCTTAAAGACATCCGATATAGACTATATCAATCTGTCTAGTATATATAGGCTGCCTAGAATACGAAACAATCGATTCTTACGTAGATGCTTTATATCGATCTTCGCTAAGCACTATTTCCTAATACGCGGAAGTGTAAAACCGGGTCTACTGCTAGTACCTAGTAGATTAATCGGCTTAACGCGCTTAATAGGAGGCTAAGGTAGATTACCTATAAGGCTTGGATTATAGACATTATAGTAGTCTTCGTCGGCGACCTATCCGAGCGGATATAGATACTACGATAGATGTTCTCCGTAGTGCTTATTTATTACAACGCGATAGCATCGGCCTACGATTGTTAGTAGCGATATTAAGGAGCAAGAGTAAGAGCTAACACTTACCTAGAATCTTTAGATAGTTATTAAGTGCACCTATAAAGATCTTCGGAATCTTCTTACAAGCCTCTAGCTCCTTCGAGTTCTAATAGTTACCTGCTTTGCCTTTGCCCTTATTGCTAGCAGTCGCGCTAGAAGGACTATCTTCGCTAGTATCTATACTAGCCTCGCTACGTACGTTATCTTCCTAGTTAGATATACTACCTACATCCTTACTAGGAAGCTTATTACATAGTCTACTAGGTCTAGGAGTATAGCGACTACGATCTCTACGAGCGCTACGACCGCGACTACGACTACAACCTCCGCGAGCTCCGCGATCCCGACTACGATTAGCTTGCTCTAGTAGCAGGATAGAGAGCATTCTAGCCTCTAGTAGCATTAGTTTAATATAATCGCTAGCGTAGTATAGAACGAAGATAAAGGTACGAGGGCGATAGAAATGTAGCTTAAGAAAGAATCCCTCCTCTATAATACGGGCTATAAGACGTACAATGCGACCTAACTACTATTAAAGATCTCTAGGGTCTCGAGTAATATTAAACTTCTATTAGTATACGTCGACGATGTCTAGCATATCTAGTCTAATACTAGTAGCTGTTGTCGCCGCTATATATCGGATGTTAGAGTCTAGCTTGCAATATTTATCGTATCGATTATCCTAGTCTAGTTTAGGCATATATATAGTATAGAATAAAATAGTATAGGTTACGTCTATACTAGGACCTATACCTCTATACTAGTATCGCTTTATTAGATCCGGATTGTCCTTAGTTAGATAGAGCAACTAGTTACGAGCGATATCGATAAAGTTATTAATATAGCTACGACTATCGATAAAAACTAGAGACTTGCGTATATTCTAAGGAGTAGCGGACCCGGCGGTAATACTTACCGCACTATCGCTATTAACGACAGCTAGATCTTCGCTATTTCCGATAGCTAGATATGCGACGGCATTGTCGATAACAATGTATAGTATATCGTAGTCGCTAAGGTACTTATAGGGGATAAACTTAATAATATATATTACCTCTAGCCGATCGATACTACTACGGATAACCTTAGTTTCGAATGCGCCGTCTCCTTCTTTACGTAGGCTAGTATACTTCTTAATATATTCTATATATTTATTATCTACTATCGCAAACGTAAGAAGGGTGTTAGTATCGGTACGTAGATAGTCGCGTACTTAGTACACCTAGGAGTACTCGTTCCGGAATCTAGATAGCTCTCCCTACTTATATACTAAGTAACACTTATTAAAGACAATTAGACTAACCCTCTTACGGACGCGCGGGTCGTTTAGTAACGCTAGAAACTAAGGAGATACTATCTGCTTAGGACTAAGAAGGATATACTAGATACGACCCTCGAGAATATTCTTAAACATACTAGGATCGATTTTCTTCGTTTCTATAGAGATATATATAGTATAAAGCAGTCTAGAGGTAGAAGCCGCTATTCGCTCTATAGCTACCGCCTACTTAGCGCCGAGACGATTAAGTAGTATATACTAAATAACAATCTTCCTAGTTATTAGCGCATAGCCCTAGAAAGGCAGACTCTTACCCTCTTCTATACGGGCGATAAATAGTACGTCGTTCTAGCTATAGATTAAGGCGTATAGGACTGCAACCTATAGCATAGTCGGCACGTATCCTATATTAGGGTGCTTTAGATCGAGTATCTTAACTAAACCCTTCTCGATAATTTCTCGCTAGAATTAGACCGTCTCTTTAAACTAGCCTACCTACTATACTAACTTTTAAATACGAGCTATAGATTCTTAATATATCTTATCGATTCTACGGCGGAAATAGCGTAGCAACTCGGAATATAAGCGAGGCAGTATTATTAGTAGAACACCGAAGTCTAGTCGTATCCGAGATACCGCTATACGACCTAGTAAAGGGGCTTAGTCTAGTTCTTGTCGCTCGAGTCGCTTCTTATGCTAGCTTACCTACTTCTCGGCTTCGCGCTTCTAGCGGCGGCGCTGCTTTTCTCTTCCTATAGTATACGCGCACTATCGAGTTTGCTATTATCGTTAGTCTAGCGCTAATCGGCTGTCGCGTCGTAGTTTAATAGATTTAATAGATCTATATAGCGGCGGCGGCGGCAGGAAGATTAAAGATAAAGTTATAAAAGGATATACGGACTATAAGCGGAGCTTGTACGACACACTTAAAGTTTGCAAGCGGGTACTGCTTTTATATGCAGCTGCTTTTATATATAAGACGTCGAAGATCTAGAAGGAGGATTTACTCTACTAAGTAATAGTAAAGTATATAAACAAGAGGTAGTTAAAAGGATAAGCGGAGGTTATAGAGCGTATCTTAAAGAAGGGGCGCGGCTAGTTAAATATTCGAGAAGTATAGTGTTTGTATAACAGTAAACCTAATATAGGTAGGCAAATAGTATAGCTATAACTAGTAATTTATATTTATAGCTTATAACTTTTGCATTTATAAAGCGACGGTATTATTACAAAATGCGATGTTCTTATACTTATTAAAATCTAGGTGCATCTCTATACATTAAAGTCGCTAAAGTATATAGTTGCTAAGCTATTTAGTTAATTTAGTACTAGTTAGTATACCTATAACCGTAACTAAGCCTAGATAGAACGGTTTGTCGTTAGGCGCTTCGCTAGAATAGGAGGAACGACGCTAAACCTAATTAGTTATAGTCCTTCACGTGCTTCCTCTCACATAATACACGAGTATTCTACGAAGCGCCTGAATAGGAGGTAGGGTCGACAGGCCAAGAGCCGTCATCCAGGATCGTTGAAGTCCTGAGGCAGAAACATAAATGCCAAGCCGCGCTAGTGCGAAGCCCACGATTTCCAAAAGTCGGTCGTCCACCTGCGATCCTCAGCGACCATCGTCAACCTCATCCGCCCAACGACCGACAACATGGCTGACGCAGAATACGTGAGTCCTCACAGCAAACAATCTCCAGAAATTCCTACTGACTATCATCTAGAACGCCGAGGAGGCTGCCGGTACGCGCGCACCACATTCGATCAGGCGCTCCTTCGTGGACGTCGTCGAGGGATAAAACCCTGTGGACAGGCCACGAAGGGGTGTTGGGAGTGAGGAACAAAGGCTAATACAATGGCTTCATACAGAGCTCAAGAGAAAGAGAGCGTTCCGCAAGTTCTCTTACCGTGGTATCGACCTGGACGAGTACGTTGGATACATACACCCGCCTTTGCAGCGCAGCGCAGCGCGCATCATCTGCAAATGCTAACTGCCCTTCAGGCTTCTCGACCTCTCTTCTGAGCAGCTCCGCGATGTCGTCCACGCTCGTGCCCGCAGACGATTCAACCGCGGTCTCAAGCGCAAGCCCATGGGTCTGATCAAGAAGCTCCGCAAGGCCAAGCAGGAGGCCAAGCCCAATGAGAAGCCAGACCTCGTCAAGACCCACCTCCGTGACATGATCATTGTCCCAGAGATGATCGGCTCCGTCGTCGGTGTCTACTCTGGAAAGGAGTTCAACCAGGTCGAGATCAAGCCCGAGATGGTTGGTCACTACCTTGGTGAATTCTCGATCTCCTAGTACGTATCCTTCCAAGAAGATGCATACGTCGCGGACATTCATCTGACCGATTCTGCAGCAAGCCAGTCAAGCACGGTCGTCCAGGTATCGGTGCCACCCACTCTTCGCGTTTCATCCCGCTCAAGTAAGCGTGGATCTTTGGAGGAGTTCAGGATGGCAAGGCATGACATTTGAGAGCGCATTGACATTCGGACACATGATCATGATAGTCAAGCAATGAACCGAAATGATACCTCAATCGGCCACTTCGCAACTCACAGTTCACACCCCAGAGCAAGCATAAATTCTCCGCCGCGTTTCTCTTACGGCATCATTTACTTCACCAGAAGAACCTATTCGCGTCTCACGATGTTCCCACGAACACTATCCCCATAACGCAATACCGGAGCGCTTCACGTAAGATCTTCTTCTAGTCTGTCCAGCTCGCCACATCCTGTAGCGTCTTCATACTCAGGCCAATGTCGTGCCAAAAACTGCTGCATATCCAAAGTCTCATTATCCATTCCACCACGGGTCCAGAGTCTTGTCCATCTCAGACCCAGCACCTTTCTAGTGCATGTATGTGAAACTGTCGCAGATACTCCCAAATCCAAAAAATAAGACCCAGTAGGTACTACAACAACAAGTCCATATATCTTCCTCGGTACTTTGTTGTTAATTACTGTTGTTGAGAACTAAAAAAGAAGCGCAGCGAAAGAATCCGTTATCATACCACCCTGCCGCCCATCTTCCGAAGCCTTGAATTCGGCGAACGTAGGTATAGATTTTCCCTCATCATGTGCTAAATCGAGAAACGCAATGGTCAGCAAAGAAAAAAAAACAAATCCCTCTCCATCATATTTTCTTTTTGGGGGGGTTGTTTTCAATCTTACCACTCCTCTTCGCCCTCATATACCGACCCAAAGTCGCCGAATGCGAAGTAGGATCTCTGGAACTCAGTGGGCCGGTTGAAGACGTGATATCCTCATCGAAAGGAAGTGTCACTGGGGCCATTGCGGGTTTGAGGATTGGGTCGTCTGCCTTTAATTTCACTGTCGTGGCGAATTGGACTGCGACTTTGACGTTTCCGTCGTGGTCGTGATGGGTTGAGGAGGCGAATGGGCAGAGTTTGTGGGAGAGGGCGAGTTCTGCGGCTTTGTCGAGGAGGTCGCCGACGGTGATTCCGGTTTTGTTTGTGACTGGTTTGATGTTGGGGCGAGGAGGGGTGGGGGGCATGGATTGATGTTGGGGGAAAGGTGGGAGGGGAGGATTTGGAGGAGGTGGTGGTGGTAGGACTTGGAACGGTGGAGGATGAGGAGCTGGTGCTGGAGGAAGTGCTACAAGAGCTGTTGGGCCTCCGAGAACGTAGTCGTATTCGTAGTGCACATAAGCACAGCAGTGGGGATAGACTTGCATCTCTGTGACGGGCGGATTGCAGATCAACATCCTCCGACATCTGGCGCCGATTGGGGGAGCGCGTTCTTTTCGTGGCCGAACTACTGCGGCGATGACTCGATGTCTGATCTTTTCTCGGTTGAAACCGCCTTGAGGGGCGACGTATGGCATTCGAGCCATGTGGAAACATTTGAAGCCAGGAAGGTGAAAAGGCGAGGTCCATCTTCTTCTGCAGCTGCCGGGACATGTACGGTATCTGTATTTCCGAGTTCTGCTGAAAGGTGTCTCAAGATATCCCGTGGCATTTGGGACGAGGTGGAGTTTTCTGGCTAGTATGACTGAGTTCTCGATGGCATCGAACATGGTTTTGTCGACTTGTTGAACGATGAGAAGTTCTCGTCTCCCTAGAAAGGTCAAGATGCGCTCGAGAAGCTCGGGAACGTCAAAGACTCGTCTCGCTGCACCGGCCGTTGCTCGTCTCTCATTGAAAAGGTGCGTGCCGACCATCTTGGCCCAGAATTGACGGAGACCAGCACTTGCGGCTGCTATATTGGCAGCATGTTCAGCCACTTCTTGAGCAGTAACAGCGGAAGAGCATATGCTTGTCAGCTTTTGAGAAGCTTCCTCTAGTTGGTTCTGAAAGGCGAGTGCCTCTCTGATGTCTGCTGTCTTTTTGCTTCGTGTTGCTTCGTGCCATGCTGCAGAGGTCGGATGCAAAACGTTTGGTGGATCGCCATCTTGTGTTCCTGGTCGATATGGAAAGTCGAAGTCATCATGATATGCACGTCTACCCATGATGATGAGCACGGTTGACGATTGTGTTGTGGAGCGTGAGATGTGCTCGATGGAGTCAAGTTTTAATTGTTCGTAGTGAATAGAAGGGTAGTATGTCACAGAAGTGAGGTGACGAAGCTGGACAAAGAGGCTAGCTATCGCTGGGCGGTGGGCGGTGGGCGGCCTCAAAGTCGGGTATCAGCCCACGCTGCCATACGTGCTACCTGCGGAACTACGGAACGTGCATGAACGGATCAGCTGACAACCACAGGATCGAAACAGGAACAAGATGACGAGTAACGAGCTGTTTTCTGTTTTCTGTTTTCTGATTGCTATTTGTTTTCAGTGCTCGTTAATATCCGCAGCGGAATTGGAGGCAAACGCCGCTCGCTCCGCAGTGAGACTCAACGAACAAACAACGACCAAACCCATCTCATCTGCAAAGAAAAGGTCCAGAATCCACATATCAGCATCTGAGCCTGCCTAGTATCTGCCTTCTCCACGTAACCCGTCCTTCCTCTACTCCAGCCTTCCAAGTTCACCACACTATCCTCCATCCATCCATCCATCCTCCCTCCATCACCCCGTCTCCGCACAGAGGTTAAGCGTCAAAGTAACCTTCCCATCCTTACAATTATGATTCTTCGCCTCATACCCCACCGCCTCACCACAAGAATTTTCCGAATCGTCATTCGGCGACGTGACATTGAAGTGTTTGGGAGGATAAGGCTGGCCGTCATAAGAGCTGACCGACCACCACCTGCGAAGCGAAGATGTGTCAGTTCAGCTGCGTTTGCATTGCCATATGAATGACATGACGTTCATGTGCGAGACTTACAGCTCTCCGTCGACGGTTGAGTAGCCCAGGATGAGTTTTGGGGTGCCTAAGAAGGATGAGGAGTGAGTTGAGTGTTGACCAGTTGAGTCGAGTTGGAGTCGAGTTACCTTCTACCCAATATGTGTTTGCTTTTGTGATTCCAAGGCTGTCTTTATGGCTGTCAGTGATGCGTCGTCGTTGCCATTTTGATCATGCTCCGACTTACTGCCCTTGCCCACAATCTCGGTGATGTAGGCGACTCCAGAATTGAGGGCCCAGGTACCGTTGCTGTTCCCTAGGCGAAATCAGTTCGTCTGCTTTTGTCGTAGCGTTGCGACGCATACAAGTGCCATTGATTTCTGTAATCCACTGTTCTGCTTTTTAGTCTAGATCTATCAGGCTAGCAACATCAATCACCTACGTGCTTTTCCAAGCAGTAATTGTTGACCAGGACCTGCGAAGCACCAGCAGATACGGCCAGCGTGAGGAAAACCAGCTTTGCTTTCTTGAAGAGCTGCATCTTGGGCTTCATGTAGCGAGCGACAATCTATGTGCTGTTATTTTCCCCGGCAGGTAGAAGGCGAAGGGTGAGTGTATCTAATGCAATTTGACGAAACGACCAGCCTTTAAAGACCCGAGACTCCTGTCTTGCCTGGTCGCACCAAAGCTGTCGTATAGTCCGCAGCTTCCCCGCCGCCATGGCAGTGGAATATGAAACGTGGTTCAATACATATCTTGTCGAGCGTACACAGTTTCAAGAATGCTGTGGTTGCATTCAGCGGAATCTTCTTTAGAGCTTGATCGTGTGCCTTGCAGCTGACCTCGAATGCCTTGCATATCCTGCGAATATCCTGATATCTGGGGCTACCACGAACGCACACGTCAACCTTTTGAGGCCCACCTCGTCCTCCCTCTGGTCCGCGTAGCATCACGAGCGGTCGAAAAACCTGAGCTCGCGGCCGGCATCATGACAGATGCGCTTCGAAAGGGCAAATAGATTCTCCCAAATCCAGGTAAGCTGCGGACTGTACTATCCAGCTCTTGCGCTTCCTGTGCCTGTGTTCTATAGCCCGCTGTGCAATGATTGTCCCCATTTGCTTAGAACCTCGCCCTCTTGTGGACAAGTCGGCAGCCCAGTCTTGCGTGCGGATTTAGCTCTTCGTGATCGCGATCGTACATGTGCTGATGTGGAAGTCATGGCGCACTTTAGCCTTGCTTGGCTTTAGCAGCGGTTTGCGAGGCCTCTGCTCTGTTGTTAGTCTTGCAGTGGCACAATGACAATTCAAGCAATGGCGTACCTCTCCGTGTAGCGTCTTCCAATAAGGGTGTATCCACAGCAGCGGCTGGCAGGTGCACGTATCGCACCACGCTGCCTCGAATGAAGACATTCTTGACAGAACTCTGTAACGTTTGTGTCCGTCAGTACTTGTTTGCAAGTCGCAGACTACTGTAACATGTGCCTGTGGAATTTGATGAACTCACCAAGTGCGGATAGCTCATTTCATCAACCACAGATATGTCGTCCAGCTTGATATTGAGATACTGGTCCACGCTCTTCAATGTGCCGCGGATCGAAATGTCATTTTTGAGCTCTACGGTCACCTCGTGGTTCACCAGAGTTTTGAAGAAGCTGAAGAAGAGCATGTCGACGAGTAAGAGGCGATCGGCGTTTATTGTAGAGTCTGGAGCATCGAGGTTGGACTTTGGAAAGTTGAAGTTGCAGCGTAGAGAGTTTGCTTGCTTGAGCTTCACCTCGATCACGTGATATCTGAGAACTGCCAAAAATGCATCGGCCTATTGTCCAAGAACAATCTGAGACGAGGATTTGACCACGAGTTGGATCTCAAAGATAGTTACAGTCAATATTAATATAGTTATAGGCTATTCAGTGTTCTTTCAATCGTTCACACAACACGCTCACAAATCCTTGCGGGCCCAGCCAACCAAGCACTTCCAAGAAGCGTTTCCCTTACCGCCTTGGTCCAAAGCTCTTGCAACTTCATCAAGAAGTCGCTCCTCGCTGCGACCCATCTCGCTGTTGAGCTTCAGCATCCATTGCTCCCACATTCTGCCACCCACAAGACCAGTCATGGCGCGAACGTCCTTCGTGCTGCCAGTGAGCGGAGCCTGAAAGTCTGTAACAGTACCGTCGACAGAGATGGTGCGCTCGCCGCCCGCAGTGGTCGCCTTGCCAGAGTCGCACCAGCGTGGCACGACATCTGCAACAGGGAGAACCATCCAGGCACGCTTAATGTCGCAAAAGCCTGCTCGCTTCAAGCGTGGTAGGAAGCTCTTGCCGGAACATGGCTCATAGCCTCGAGTCTTCAGGTTGAAGGCAAACTCGACGCCCAGCGCTTGACTGGCAGCATCTGGGTGGACGAGCTCAGCGTCCAGAAGATCGAATTCGAGATACCCACCAGGCTTCAAAATGCGGAGGCATTCTCGGAGTGTGAGGTCCCACTCATCAGCAGCGCTGCCCTTTGGCCAGATCGTCTTCAGGTGAGCGTAGAGATTTCGGGCGGAGATGACATCGAAATAGTTGTTCTCAAACGGCAGCTCCCAAAGCTTGGGCGACGCGACCACGTGGTGATTGCCGGGACCGTCAAGCGAGGATGACAGAACGTGTGCTTCGGCGTCAGTGGAGACAGTGGTGTAGACAGCAGCGTCGGGATGTTCCTGAGCTACGGACCATGCCCAGCTGCAGTGAACCTGGCCAGCGAGGTCGAGAACTTGAACATCTTTGCGTCCTTTGAAGGTTTGTACGATTGGGCTGGTGAGGAGCTTTCCGCCGTTGACCTCGCGCTGCGCAGCAATATGCCACGATGAAGACTGAATCTGGTCCAAGGCTTGCCTCTCACGGTCCGCCTGTGCGATAAGCTCCTTTCTCTCGTCTTCTGGAGCAGTAGGTAGGAACGAAGACACTGGGCGTTGAGGTGCTGGTCGCTCCGCCTGGGTGATCTCGAATTTACCTGAAAGCTGCCGAGCGTGCTGCTTCGCAAGGCTGACACGCTTGACCTGTTCAGCTTCGGCTCGAGCTTGTCTGTGCTCAAAGACATCGCGAGCACGCCGAGAGCGTTTTGTGTGACGCCAAGCTTCCCAGAAGGTGCCGTCGTGGATTGGAGAAATGCGGCGATCTTCGGCAGTGCTTGCTTGAGAAGGCTCAGCAGCGGTCTTGTCTTCAGCAAAGCGGACTGACTTCTTGCTCGGAGAGGATTCATCAAACGCAGGGCGCTCCTGATCTGGAGTTCTCGGTGTGACGTCTGCAATGTTTCTAAAGCTGGCTACTACCTCGTCCTCCTCGCAAATGGCAGTCATGTATGCGTCCTGGGCAAAAAGCCAGAGTTGAGTTCGATCAATGTTGGCATTGGCGTTTTCCAGAAGCACATCCTGGTATGTCTCGTCAATCTCATCGACCTCATTGATGACGTCGGTCGGAGAAAAGACGACCTTACGAGCTGTGATAGGGTCTTGTGCGCTTGTCGGTGACGCGATAGCGATCACATGCTCAACGGGATTCTCGGGTCGCTGGTTCCATGGCACATTATAGAATGAAGCTGCGGTGCTTGTAGGCAGAGACGAGTGGCGAACGGGGCGAAAGGGAACTCCGTAGAACTCTGATGCAGTGCTAGTATTCGGCGTCACTTCAGAGCCTGCCCATGTCTTGCGAGCCATGGTCGAGTCGAGCGAAGCAAAGAATCCTCCGGGAGATGGCACGGATAGGGCGGATAGCTCATCATCGGCATCATCTGCGTTTGGTGGAGCCAGGTTGCTGGTATCAATCCTGAAGCATCCAGTGATTGGTGGCGAGTCAACGATCTCCTTCATCTCTGCCCTTGCCTCATCTGGGATTTCGATGACAGTCTGCTGCGCCTGGCTGTCCCCCTCCCCACTGATTTGTCGGAGCAAGTTGATGGCCGATGGGTCTAGCTGAAGTGGCGGTCGCCATGCAGACTCGACATCGGTGACTTCAGAGACATCCGGAGTCGATGGGCAGCTTGACCTCGCAAGCTCTTCAGAGGTCTGACTGCCATCAAGTGAAGGTGTTGAGGAGGTGCTGGGTACGCGAAGGTTGCGATTTTGCAACTGAGCAAGGATGGACGGGGAGAGATTGACTTGCAGAGGTGGTGAGAGCGCGGATGCTGACTTGAGTTTCTCGATTGTGGGCCACTGTGCAGGCGATGGGATGATGATTGAAGGGAAACGCGACTTGGTCTCTTTCTTGCCAACGCGGCGCTTGACCGAAGTTGAGAGCTTGATTGGCACCTCCTCGGATTCACTTTCGGTGATGTCGTACAATTCGTCAAAGCTTTCCGAGCTGCGCTTGCTCCACAGCGAGCTCTGATCAGAGTCGGAATCGGCGCTCGAGCTGCTTAACGACGGACTGCTCTCCAGAGTGGTGTACGTCGCGCTCGCCTTGGGTGTGGGAAAGTCGTCGCTCAAGGGCGAGGTGACTTGATTCCGAGCTTGAAGCCTCTGTGGTGGGGCTCGTCTGAGCGAGACTTGCGGTGCGTCTTCGATTACTGTATTACGGTATGCTTCGCCCTTGCGAGCCGGCGCAGAGGGCGTGAATGCCACAGGGCATAATGTGGTCGAATGGTTCATTTTTGTCGGGTGTCCAGGGTATATGCAAACGATAGTGGCTCCGACCTGCGGTGAGTATGCTCGAGACCTCGATCAACGAAGTGTGTGTAGGGAGAAAGCGGAAACGAAAGCGACAAAGGAGAGGGCGAAATGGAACGCACACACGAACAGAGAGAACAGGCGGCAGATCGAGTTGGGAGAGTCAGCAGACTGGCCAGCACCAGAGGTCCTTATAATACAGGCCTTTGGACACACGGCAGGGCCTCAACGTGGTCAAGGCTGGCGCTACGCCGTGAGCCTCGTCGAAGGCCGTTGGTAGCACAGCCGGAGGCAGATGCGTCGTGTGCTGTCGAATCACCTCCAGAAGCTGGGTGCAAGCGCTCAGCATTCGATGCACTGCAGAGTGCGGCGGCTAATGTCAGCCAATCGTTCCCTTCCGACGACGCTGCAGTGCATGGCTGCCGTCATGGCGGTACTGTATCAGAAGATACTGTGCGACTGTGAAGACTTCCAGAACACGATTGCACGTCCGCGCGACTCGGGAGATTGTGTTGTGCATGATGCAGCAGCAGCAGCAGAAGAAGTCATCGCGAGGGAACTGCAATGCACATTCGAACCGGGATCGGCAGGCGCGCATCGGCCCGGTGGGGAAGGAAGGAAGCTTGAGCACGACGTTGAATTCGCTGCAACACATTCTCGTTCTGCTGACTTTGCAGTCGTAACCTATTTCTATCTTCTGACGTGTACAGCCGAGAAAGGACATCCTCTGGCTTCGGACACCTCACAGAAAATGGCTCCGGCTGCCATCATCGCACCCTCCATCTTGAGCGCGGACTTTGGCGCACTCGGCCAAGCATGTTCAGACACGATCAAGCAGGGTGCTGACTGGTTGCACGTGGACATCATGGATGGCCATTTCGTGCCTAACATGACTTTCGGAGCACCCGTCGTGACCAAGATCCGGACACATGTGGATCGCCCGAAGGAAGCTCTTGGAAAGGGGACTTTCGACTGCCACATGATGATTGCTGAGGTATGCATTCAACGTTCGTAGGCATCGACGACCTCCAGGCCACACTGCTGACCGGCGCAGTAGCCAAAGAAATGGGTTAAGGATTTCCAAAAGGCAGGATGCGATCTTTATTGCTTCCATTACGAAGCAGCCATCTCGTCGACTGCCGCAGAGAGTCCGGAATCGCACAGTGATCAGAGAACGAACCCCAAGGAACTGATCAAGTACATTCACGATCAAGGTCTCAGAGCTGGTATCGCTATCAAGCCGAAGACTCCGGTAGATGTGCTTTACGACATTTTCGACAACCCCAACAAGGCTGAAGTTCCAGAGGTATGCCTGATCATCAATTCATGCACGCGGGTGCTTTGCTGACCGCATCAAGATGGCACTGGTCATGACCGTGGAGCCGGGTTTTGGTGGACAGAAATTTATGCCTGACATGATGCCAAAGGTCGAGGCATTACGGAAACGGTACCCGGAGCTCAACATCGAGGTCGACGGCGGCCTCAGCGAAAAGACGATCGACACGGCAGCAGACGCTGGGGCCAATGTGATCGTGGCCGGCAGTGCGGTCTTTGGTGCCAAGGATCCTGGCCAGGTCATTGAGGCTCTCAGGGAGGCGGTTGAAAGGCGTCGGTGACTCCAAGGTAGCCGTTTGTAGCAGAGTGATTGCGTGGCATTTTGAGGCGCGTGAAGTCAACATCGAGACAGGGTGTTGTAAGAATCGAGCAATCCTGGATGAGTGCCGGGAAAGAGTTTGATAGAGCACGACGTCGGGAAGTTCGAAGGCATACCCAAAATCACGAGCGACGCCCCGTCATCCATGTAGAGCACGCTTGGTCGCGTTCTATGGCCTCCATAGGCCTCATATGAAGTCGTCGCATATGGTTGTCAATATGGGTTTCTTTGTTTAGATCGAAGTCTTGGCTGCATGACATGCATCGCGCCGGCGTGAACCTTGTGTGACCCTGGCATCCCCGACAACAACGAACTCACATGAACTCCGTCGGAGGTGCAGGTTTCCAAGAGTCAGCGTGAGACTTTGTAACGGCTGGTCCTCCCCGTAAGACATCCTTTTCCTCAAGGCGACATCGATGAGCCTGCATAGAAAGCCACTCATGCAGTGAACGCCGAGTTCGATCGCGGGGCCATCATGGCTCGAGACCACGAAGAGACGCAACCACTCACTGGTACTTCAAGACCCGGAAATCCTGACAATGATGATGATGAGGGGCGGGCATCAGCATCGTCGGGTTCGACAATGTCTCTGATGCTGGAACACACCAGCGATAAGGCCGCGATCAAGGCTAAAGATGCATTGTATTCCGATGGTCCACAACCAGAAGATTTGGAAATGGAGGATCAACTGGCATGGCAGCGATCTGTGAAGCCAGCCGACAAGAAGGCACGGCGGATACTATACACGCTGATTGCGATTGGAGCAGTAGGCTGGGTAGCCGCCCTATTCCTGTTCCTAGGCCAAGACAGACGAATACCGCATTCAGCGCGACCACACGACCCACACGCCACGAGCACCGCAGGAAATGGCAAGAAGGTGACACTGGAATCGGTTCTACACGGAGGGTGGTACTCTAAGGAACATGCCATTAGCTGGCTTCCAGGTCCCAACAAGGAAGATGGTCTGCTGTTGGAGCGAGGTGGCGGCGATGGCCGCGATTACCTGGTTGTGGAAGATGTGCGATACAGAGGCGAAGACATTTCGGTACAGAAGCAACACAGCAAGACTCTCATGAAGTCCGCCACGTTCCTGGTTGGCAGCGAGACTATTACTCCTGACAATGCTCTGCCGAATGCGGATCACACGAAGGTCATGATTCAAAGCAACAGAGAAAGTCAATTTAGGCATAGCAGTACCTCTCGCTTCTGGATCTTTGATGTAGCAACGCAGACAGGCCAACCACTGGACCCTGACAACATCAATGGACGTGTCCAGCTCGCCTCGTGGAGCCCGACAGGCGATGCAATCGTGTTTACGCGCGACAACAACATGTTTATTCGGCACTTGAGTTCCGATAAGGTGCAGCAGATCACGAGTGACGGAGGTAAGAATCTGTTCTACGGTGTGCCTGATTGGGTGTACGAGGAAGAAGTCCTTGCTACTGGTGCGGCAACCTGGTGGAGTGGCGATGGGAAATATGTCGCATTCTTCAAGACCGACGAGAGCAAAGTGCCCAGCTTCCCGATCCAGTACTTCTTCAGTCGGCCAAGCGGCAAGCAGCCCAAGCCAGGCGAGGAGAACTACCCCGAAGTCAACCACATCAAATATCCAAAGGCAGGAGCGCCGATGTCGGTAGTCAGCCTAATGTTCTATGATGTTGTAAAAGATCAAGTCTTCAGCGTGCCGATTGAAGGCGATTTCCCGGATGATGATCGCCTGATCACAGAGGTTGTCTGGGCCGGCGAGAGTGGTAAGGTCCTTGTGCGATCTACCAACAGAGAAAGCGACCGACTCAAAATGATACTCATCGACGCGGTCCAGCGGACTGGTAGATCTGTGCGAGAGCGTGACGTGCAAGCACTTGACGGTGGCTGGATGGAGATCACGCAGACTACTACTTTCGTGCCCGCAGATCAATCCAATGGCCGCAAACATGATGGGTACATTGATACCATCATTCACAAGAATAACGATCACCTGGCATATTTCGCTCCTCTTGACAACCCTGAGCCAAAGATGCTCACAGAGGGAGATTGGGAAGTGGTCAAAGCGCCATCGGCTGTTGATCTGGAAAAGAACATCGCCTACTTTGTGGCCACTAAAGATGGAAGCATGCAACGGCATATCTACACAACAAGTCTACTTACTGGCGCCAAGAGCATCAAGGCTATCACCGACACCAGCAAGATCGGGTACTACGAAGCTTCTTTCTCCACCGGAAGCAAATTCATGCTACTCACCTATCAAGGTCCAGGCATACCTTGGCAGAAGATCCAGGCTACGCCTACCAATGAAGGCTCTGATGCCAAGCTTGACATTACGATCGAGAAGAACGAAAAACTAAACGAGCTTGCCAAGAGGACCGAACTGCCAATCAAGAAATTCACGACTGTTGAGGTGGATGGGTTCAAGCTCAACCTCGTTGAACGACGGCCTCCACATTTTGATGAAAGCGGAAAGAAGAAGTATCCTGTACTTTTCTTCCTGTATAATGGACCTGGATTCCAGCATGTTGACTACAAATTCACTGTTGATTTCCAAGCATACGTCGCAAGCAGCCTAGGGTATATCGTTGTGACGCTCGATGGTCTAGGCACTGGATACCAAGGGCGAAAGCAGCGCACCATCGTTCGTGGCAACATTGGCTTTTGGGAAGCGTATTCCCAGATCGCGGCCGCAAAGAAGTGGGCTGCAAAGAAATACGTCGATGCTGAACGTATGGCGATCTGGGGTTGGAGCTATGGCGGGTTCATGGCACTGAAGACGCTTGAGCAGGACGCTGGTCGGACTTTTAAGTACGGTATGGCAGTGGCACCAGTCGTAGATTGGCGATTCTATGATTCTGTGTACACCGAACGATACATGCATATGCCCCAACACAACCAAGCCGGATACGACAACACTTCGGTATCGGACATGCAGGCCTTGTCGAAAAATGTGCGCTTCCTGGTGATGCATGGATTCAGCGATGACAACGTCCATTTCCAGAACACACTGCAATTGCTGGACAACTTGGATCAGGCAGGCGTGAAGAATTATGATATGCATGTCTTTCCGGATAGCGACCACGGCATCTTCTTCCACAATGCCAATAGAATGGTGTACAACAGTAAGTTGCCTCGACACACGAGTTTTCCCTGATAGTATACTGATGTCGCTCCAGAGCTTAGAGATTGGTTGGTCAATGCCTTCAACGGCGAATGGCTGCGCATTGAATCCCCGATGCCGATGGGCATGTACGGCAACATCTCTTGACAGTGTGCAGCATTATTAACAGGGATTGCTTGCTTCGCGGTCAAGAGCGGTGCCGAAGATCTGAATTCTCTGTCCCATGAGGCCGTTGACGGGCAGGTGATGGGGCGCCACACCGCCATGCGGTCTAAACAAACGTGTTGAGTTGCGGTTGCGGCAATATACCAGATCGAGAATTGTTCCAGCGCTCAATTTACCTCCCATGACTGCCTGCCTGCCGCGTCAGGCGCGAGAAGGAAATGATACTGACGCTACGTGTGCCGCTAAGATATATGCGCAATGCTTTGGGCATTGTGGGCAGTCTTGTAGATGCATATATAGTCGATGAACAAGGCTCATAGCCTCAACACTTCCATTAATGACTTGGACCTTGTCTTCTCTCACAGCTGTGTCAAAGACGCTCTATGATGATCATAATCGCTGACGGACAATGCACGTGGAAATACATACATCCATACCGTGAGGATACATGTAACGTCATCGGGGGCTCGGAAGTCGCGGGCGCGGCGCGTTTGCGGTGAGCGATGCATCAACGGCATGACGATTGCTTTCTCGTGGGCTCACAGCACCACCAGCCGCCTTCCGCCTCATACCGGCATTAGAAGCTGCGCACATCTCGATTACCGATGGAGCTTGCTGTATCCGTCCGCAAAGAAGAAGGAGGACAGCGGCAGGCCTGGGCGCCTGATTGAGGAACATACGCGTCGGACATCGACATGGAGCTCACCACACCCGCAAACCCGACCTCCTTCTCTGGGAGGCTCGTCACGAAATTGAGCAGGAAGTTCCGATCCGACAAGCAGTATTCTCAGGAAGCCATTGATAAGAAGAACAAGAAAGAAGGCGCGAAGCTCCGAAAACGAAGTCTCGCGACCGCTGCGCCAAATGATGCAGCGAACGAACTCGGTGAACGGAACGAGTATGCTATTTTCGAAAATGCCACCCTGGCAAATGCAAAGGATTCGAAGCGGAAAGACCATGGAGAGATGATGCACGGACTGGCTCATCACGATTCATTCGATTCCCTTCTCGATCACAACCGAGGATCCATTGAAGACGACACATATGCCTCAGCAGCTGTACGGAGACGGCGACGTCAAGGCGTGCTTGTATCGCCCGAGCACGAAGCACGCGTAGCCAGTCTGCCAGACGAGCTTTGGAAGCGAGTGGCCATGATGCTGGATCCCATCGATGCCGTGCATCTGGCTCTAGCTTCCAAATCACTTCACCGAAAACTGGGACCTTTACCTTTTGAGATGCTGAATCACGAGGACAATCGCCATCGAAAACATTCCCTCCTGCACAACATGGACCAACATCATCCCGATCACCTCCTCTGCTTCCCATGTGGCAAATACCACAAACGTATCCAACCCGGCAAAGAAATGCTCAAAATCGACTTTGTCAAAAACCCCATCTTCATCTGCCCCAACGTCAAAGCCTCAGTTCTACCCCGAATGCGAATCGCCTACGGCCGCGAACTTCCCTACGCCTACGTCCAACTCGCCCTCCGCGCATCCCGCCACGGCCCCTCCTACGGCATCGATGTCAACAACCTCTCCCGAAGATGGAAATGCAAACACTCAGGCTGGACCCACCGAACCCGCTACATAGTCCACGACAACAGACTTCTCTTCCGCTGCGTCTCCCAAACCTTCGTACCCCCAGCCAAAGACCTAACCGAAACCCGCTCCCGCCACATCCTCTACGACCGCGAAGAATTCCTCCCCTTCTTCTCCGTCTGCGCCCACTGGCGCGACGGCGACCTGATGAAAATCTGCAAATGCATGATGTCCCACGTCCCCGCCCCACCAGACCCTTACTCCAAACAACTCCAACGCGGCTTCAAAATCTCTCGCTCCGCCGCAAACCCGAATTTCATCGTGCGAGGTTGCGACGAATGTCGTCCCGCTCGCCGCTGTCCCGACTGCCCCAGCGAATACCTGATCGAAATCCAAATGTTGGAAGACGCGAGGGATCGAATCTCACCGTTTAAGCACGCGATCGTTGTGACGAGGTGGGCGGATTTGGGCGATGGGAGCAGTCCGTATACGAGTGCTGAGTGGACGGCTTGTAATGGGTTGGAGTCGGAGTTTCGGAGTTTTACGTCGGTGGGGAGGAGGGCGGTGGGGGGCATATTCGAGAGTGCCGTTAGTGGGGCGGTGCCGGGGCAGAGGTTGATTAGTTTGAATCCGAAGAATCTGAGGTTGGGGGAGGAGGGGCATGGCTGGTATTAGGTTAGGTTAGGGATGGATGGGAGTGTGGGTTGGATGGTTCTATTATAATAATGGGAAGGTAGAATAGCATGGTGCTGGCGGCGTGGCCGAAATTAATTCTTTTAAGATCTTGCAGAATCGTGAGAAGAGATAGAGGGTACATATGTACATCGTGGCTCTCCCACGTGATCATAAGCTCACAGACTCCGAAATCCCATCTATTATTCTCAAGTCTCCAAACGAGCGAGCGCATCGAAAAGGTTTGGAGCTCCATACCATAAGCTGAGGTCTTCTTCTACATACCTCAAAAAAAACTCTTCCTATGCATTCCTATCACATTTTACAGATTACAATCATCGCATGAAGGTGTATCATCTCCAAAAAGAAAGAAAAAAAAATGAATGCATCGAACCACCACCAGCCCTCGGACCTGAATATGCAAGTCTATTAGTCCCAGGCAAGCAAGCAAGCAAGCAAGCATCCATCGCAATTCGGGTATATCTGATCTCTATTCAGCACGCCAGCACATTTCTGAGCATGCTCAAGAATGGGTCCATCATCTTATGGAGCTCCGTGATTTTAGGCTTGATCGGCTCGCCCGCCGTCCTCTTCAACATGTCTTGTCGTCTGCTTCTTCGCCTGCGCTCCGCTTCTATCGGATCGGCCTCGTCTTCCTCGTCCGAATCAATCTCTTCATCCTCAAATTCGTCATTCATGTCCATGTCAGCCAGGTCTTGTGGGTTAATGCCAAAGTCGCTGGATTTAAAAGTGTTCGCTAAACCGCCCATGCTACTTGCGTCAGCCTGACCGCCGGATGCCATTTTCTGCCGTGTCTTGTCAGAGTGCCATCGCTTTCGCGCCGTCTGCCATTTGATGAGACTATTAATCTCTTTCAGCGCGATGGTCTTGTCGATCTGCTTCGATTCTAGAGCGCCCGCAAAGAGTGCGTTCATGTCAAGCTTTCCGCCTTTGGGACCGTTTCGCAAGAAATCCAGGATTCCCTCGATCCATGTCATAAGTTTATCGAACAGGCCATTGTCATGCAGATGCACTTCGTGTATGAACTTGTACAAGTCATCTTCATGTCGCTCGCAGAGGTCGATGAAGTTCTGTACAGTCTGGTTCGGGTCGGCAGAAACATCCTGGCGCTGAGCCTTTTCAATGGTTTGAATGGCATCATCGGCGAAGCGAGCAAAGTCCGTGACGCTGTTATAGACATTTGCAGATTTGTAGACTCGCACAAGCGGTTCGTAGAAGATTGTGAAGAGATCGCGGAAGAGGCGCAGGGTGTTGGGCTCCTCCACCATCTCCAACATCATCTTCTTGTCTCTCTGACGCGTGTGGAGCTTGAGCAGTTGCTTCAGCCTAGCGAACAGCTCTGCACCCTGCCTCATTTCCTCATCGACATTCTCCACGGCATTATTCCATGCCACGTAGGCGTTGAAGATGCGTCCAATCTGCTCGGAAGATAGCTGAGGCTCGATTTCTTCGCTCTGTAACACTTTGACGAGGAGATCGACTTGCTCATCTCTGGCTTCTTCTCGGACGTTGTTCTTGACTTCTTCGAATGACTCAATATAGTTCTTGATCTTGTCTGTCAGCGTCGGCTCATCGATTTTAGCTGTGAGCGCTTCTATCGATCTCTGCAGGCTCCTAATTCCGTCGCCCAATGCCATGGCGAATATACGCTGCAGCAAGGACTTGGCGCCGAGCGGTTGTGCCATGAAAATATCGAGGACGCTGGCCATGACCGCTGCCGGGTTGGTGAAGCGAATCACCTGCTTCAGGGCGGAATAAGGAACCAGACTATGAATCCGTTTCGCCTGTGCAAACAATTCGGGCGAATTGTCCTCGGCCAGAAAGAGGTGGTATAATGTCGCCGCCACTTCTATGCGGAGCCATTCTGCGAACTTCCTAAACTCGGGATCGAGATCTGCGATTTTGTCCTTTCTCTTGATCTCGGCAAAGAGGTTTCGGAGACCATTACTCTCCACGACGCTGCGCCTGAACTTCTCCATGTGGATGTCCAATTCCCGTGCACGTTCTCTCGCAATCTCAAAGAATTGACGCTGCTCTTCGAGACGCTTCTCATCCATTGCTTTTCTTCTCTCGATATCTTGCAACTCTTCTACACTCGGCTGGATTGGATTCTTGGTCAGAAAGTCGCTCATAGCTCTCGAATTGGCAATTGGTTCAGTCTGCAGGAAGTTGCGGAGGAATGCACGCAACGATACACGCTGCTCTTCTCGATGAAGCACCGTATCTGGCGTCACTTCTCGGGCCGGAGTCGACGCAATGGAGGCGCCTCTGTTGACTTCCATAGATGCGCGCGGCGAGGATGACTGTTGTAGCGAAGTCCTTGAAGCATTTCTGCTGTGCCCACTACCACCAGTCCAGCTAGAAAGGTAGGAGCGGAAGCCTCCTGGCCCACTTTCCGGCGCATTTTCAGGTGTCGATGCGATTGGTGGGGTTTCCTGGGTTGAGAAGGATGAGATACTATCTGCGTCGGCATCGTCACGGCCACTGTAGATGGATTGAGCCTTGTTCTTGCGAGGAAGCGGAGGTAGCACCTTGCCTGGAAGTTCCAAACGCAAGTTCTTGTGCATCTTAGCAAAGTCACCAAATCTTCTTGCGACAAATATCTCCTTTTCATCCTTGTGCTTCACGCGAAGAATAAACTCGGCGTGCTTGTGGTAGCGGACGTGCCTCTTGATGCTGACAAGTCGAACTCCAGCAACATTCACATCCCATCCGTTGATCTCATGGCCCTCTGGCACATTGACCACTAGGCCTTCCTCGTTGGCCCCACGCTCGACCACCTCCATCTCTGCAAAACGAATCCTCTCCTCGTAGCCAGAAGCGGTGGGTATTCCTGACACCATCATCAGCTCCACCAATTTGGTCGCCTTGAGCGCCAGTTTCGCCCTCTTCGTCTGCTCTAGCCGATCTTCGGCAGAGGATATGCGCTTGTTTGCAAAGCTCTCGAGAAAAGCTTGCAACTTGTCCTGCCAAAACTCTTTCTCTTTCGCCTGGTTGAGGAAGGGGAAATTTCGTACATGGTGTACGAAGATATAGCGTAGCAATGGCAATTCGGAGTCTTGAGGTGCAACTTCGCCAGCGTCTGATCGGAAGGGCGCTCCAAAGCGTTGTAGTGCAGTTGGATGTGAAAGTTCCTTAATCTCCCATTGAGTCTGATTGGAAATAAGTTCACGCTTGAGGTAGTGCTCCTGCTTGCCGGTCAAGATGGAGCCTGGCGGTGGTACGGAGGCCATAGTGGATATGGTGGCCGCAGAGGGGCGGTTCCTATGCAACTGCTGCCGTCGCTCCTGCTGCAGCTGCGCCTGCGCAATCTGCTCGTCGGCGGTCTCTGGGGCCTCAACGAAATATTGGCTCTCGATGGTATCGGTCCGCCGTGGGCCAGCAGGCGGCGAGGCAGGCGTGACGTCAAACTTGACTCCATTCTGCTGCTGGACATCCTGTGCCAGCGCCAGCGTACCATTGGCATGCGGCTCCATCGAGGCGGGTATTGCGGTGTTGGAAAGCGGCTGCTGCTAACGAAAGTGGATGCCAAATGAAGGTAGGAATGGGACTCAGGGCCACAGGGCGCCGGCGGCGAGGGAGGTGGCGGCGGCGGCGGAAAGCAAATGGCAATAGGAAATGCTTGCTGGTTCCGACGCGTCAACTTTGTATGTTTGCAACTCGAGTTCTAATCAGAGCACAGAGCACCGCCTGCAGAAGACCGGGTCGGCTGCACCTGCTGCGTCACTTGTCTCTGCAGGGCTTGGCGCAGCCAACTAAACCAAACGACCAAGAGCCCAAGAGCCCTGCCGTCTGGGCGCAGCACGCGCCTGACATTTCAGCACTTGCACCAAATACGAGCGGTGACATGGTCGTGGGAGATTGTGAGAAATTGTTGCTGGAAATGCTTCTCGCAGTACACGACCTCGACAATGGTGGTGATCAACACATCGTCCTCGGGCGCTAAAAAGCTTGTTTCAGCCTTGTGAAGAACCACCTGGCAGAAAAAAACCCCTCCTCCACCAACAGCCAGCATCCTTGATTCCTCACTGCACAGCGAAAATACCTCTTGGCCGCCAGGCCCACTCGTAAGCACGCCGTCATCGTCTCATTGGCGACTGACCTTCACAATGCTAGCCATCAGAACAACCCGCCAAGACGGAAAGGGATGCACCAAGTATGCACCAAACCTGGCTTGGCCGCATGGAAAGCACAGCATGACCATCGAGCGTGCAAACCAGACATACATGCCGCGTAATCTGTCTCGCTCGCATCCGTCATGTCTACCACAGCCTCCGCGTCCAACCGCTCCACCCGCCTTGCAGAAAGATTGCTCCCAAGATAGCGTGTGCCCAGAAATTTGATTTGTGCGGGTTGTGACGAATCCGGGGGTTGTGAAGGGTAGTTTGATAGAGATGGTAAGATCGATTATTGGGAGCGAGACGTGAGTTTCAGAAGAAGAATGGAAATCTGTTGAAGCCTTCCATTCGGGCCATATCAACCGCAGACTCTCAGCAAGCTCCTCGCAAGACCTCCTCCTAGACTAAGTCAATCATGGACTCAATCATAGATGGAAGCCGGTATTCAGCTCCTCCTCCCAGTCACCACTGGTGTCCCAGTCTTCGGCGGGTGTCGAAGTCAAGTTACAAACGAAAGATGCGAGTCCTTTATAGAGTGGCAGCCTGCGCACGGACTCAATGATGGCGGCATGTGACTACAGTCATTCATTCATTCACATGCCGCGAAGATCACAAGGAGGCGGGCTTTCGGGCCGAGGCATGTGACTTGAGTATCACGGGCAGGGAATTTGCATGTGATACACATGAGACTGTACGATCAGATGCGGAAGGATATCGTGATTTGCTTGAGGAAGGAAATCGTCCAAGACGAACTGTGCTTTCATTATTCACTCAGCGTGGCAAGTTTTCGGCTTGCTGCCTCTTGACCGATGCCCCATCTCGCTTCCGACCACTGCTCTAATGCTTGTAGGCTTCCCGTCTTGCGATGTTCACTTCAGCAGCATCCACAAAATACGCTACAAATGTCTATCTTGGTGTGCTGCTGATAACGGATCATCAACTATTGATCCAAAAAAGACCTTCATCGATGGCCTTGCATTGGAGGACCCACATCCCGCTAGGTGAACAATCGTGATGTTAGGAGTCTATCTCGACTCATGCTTGATTCGTGGGGGGAGGCGCTGCAGTTCCAGCTACGGCGGCAGATCCCAGCGGCTTCTGCGCGTAACACACCACGCCTTTCTGCCAACCGTGAAATTTCCGCGTCACTGTCTCGTTCCTCACTTTAGCAATCAGTACCTGCGCCTCTTCTGGAGTCCAGCCGAGCACTCTTGTGAAGGGTGCCATAGTAAATCCTTCCAATCCTTCAAGGTAGTTCAGACGTGAATACCTCCCAATCTCTTTCATCTTGGGGTCCTTAGGCCAGTCGTTGACCGGCCTCTTGATCATCTGGAAGTGAACATTTTCGAAACCAGCGTCTTCTAAAAGCTTGGGAAAGCGATGGATTTTTGGTATGGGCCTGCCGATTTTTTCAAAGGCTTCCTCGAGAAGTTTCCACCAGAGCTTGCTAGGTGCGTCTTTGGGCACTGTGTCATCGTCGCTGAATGTACCTTGGAGAAGTAGGAGTCAGCATTCGTAACTCGAGCTAGCCCGCTTACCCCATAAGCTTTGCCTGGCTATTGTGCTATTCAATAAGTCGCGCTATGCAGTCGGAGAACCGAGTTTCAGTTTCCTACCAGCTGTCACTATAATTAGTTAGCAAGCCGGTGTTCTTGGCATTCGTAGATCTCTACCACTATGTCCAAATACCGTATTAGCTATGTTGTCGCCTTTTTAATAGTATAGAGCTATTAGAGGTGTTGCTAATAATAGCGCGCCTGCCGGACGATTAGCTTAACGAGATTAAGCGCTTCTTTAACGAAGGTATACTATCTAATAATGCTATTTCCGATACTATAAATGTCGCTAGGCGGACTATCGACAAGCTCTATAATAACTACCTCTTGTTTAGTATGTTCTATATTAGCGATCTCGCTAGACTCGGTCGTCTATAGCGCCTATTACTAATATATAAAGATATAGGTATTCCGACTATTTCGCGCCTGCCCGACTATTTCGCGCCTACCCGACTAACCTAGCTCTTACTATAGCGTATATTCGACTTCCTTATAGACCGACCGACGGCGTACTAAGATAAGGTAATATAGTATTTATAGGACGAGTTTAGTATTATAGTAAGCTAGCCGACAATATCGCGTATCTTAAAGGACTACAAATAGACGAGGAAGAAGGCCTTCCGTATCGCTTATAAGTAGAATAGTGAACTGCGCGATAGCTTTAGAATATAGCAAATAGGTATATCTGCGGATAGGGTTATAACTGTCGATAAAAGTGCCTCGAATAAACGCACTAGATAGCGTAAGTTTAGATATAGACCTATTAACCGCCCGGTTTAAGAAGAGGGCTCGACGGTGCGCTCGAAAAGGTAGAGTGTATTGCCTACTATCGGCGTTAATAGATATCTTCGAGGCACCCTTATCTACTAAGGTTCTATTACTAGAGCTATGTTCGAGTCTTAGCTTAAGAACACGGTCCTACCGCAAATGGAGCCTAGTATAGTGTTAGTAATAGATAACGCGTCAATCTACCGCACTAATAGCGTAAAAGAAGCGTGTCGACAAGCAGGTGTCTACCTAAAGATACTGCCGCCGTACTTACTAGACTTTAATCCTATTAAGTTGTCGTTCTCGTCGCTAAAAGTATAGGTTAAGAAGAACATTAACGAGGCTAATTGCTTTATAGACTTCGGACAGTTTATAAGGTACGTAGTAAACGAGTTGAATATAGAAGACAACGCAGAAGCATAGTTTTAGAAGGCAGGTTAGAGACACTAATTATAATACCTAGTCCTTTAAAGACTCGCTTATACTAACGACTATCTCTAGCTTAGCAATACGGCCTTTTAAGTCTTCAATCTCCTATCTTAATTCTTCTACTATAGCACGCGCAATATTAGTAGCATAGTCCTTTATAATCGCTTCTATATACTATAGATTTAGTAGTACTAGCTATAGCGATAAGCCTCTTAAATTAGCTAACGATAGTAATATAGTAGACGTGTCGATATGCCCTTCTACGCCTAGCGGAGGTTGAATAGGTATAGTAACAATCTCCTTATCGTCCTAACTATCCGCAATCTACTCGAGATTAGTCGAATCTACCGAGATACCTAGTTAGTATACCTCTAATACGCTATAGGTAGCTATCGCGATTAAAGAGCCTAGAATTTAGTAGTTTAGAAGCAGTTTGAATCGCTAGCGGTACCTCGAGGCTATTTGTTAGGACTAAAGAGGTTATACGTAATTAGTATGTGACCGGGCTCGAGTAAAGCTAGGGTCTTGATGCCTCAGGCAGGGCTTGGCGCTTAGCGTTAGGCTAACTAGCCTGCCTTCCTCCCTCTCCTCTTAGATCTCTATCGAATACTATACCGATTCACGACTACCCTATCTACCTGCTAATATAACCCTTATTATACAGTATTCGATCTACCCTTTAAGGGCAGCAGCTAGATAGTCCTTATTTCAAGCTTTTAGCGGTATAGCTACGAAAACCATCGATTTGACTATATTACGCCCGAAGAACGGGACCTATACGTACTATTCTATTAAACAACCGTACCAATTATTAAGTAAGGCCTTCTATACGGCCTATTATACTAAATCAATCGCACTAAGCCGATATCTACTAATTCCGCTACATCCGCATTTTAGGGGCCTATAATACATTATTAGTGCTACCCCTTATTATAATAGCCGGCTCGTTACGAAACAATAACCGTGCTGCCGCTAGCAGCGCTAGCAATAACAACGCTAGTAGCACAGTTCCCGCTAAAGTGCCTGCTAAAGTGCCTCCTACTAAAGAGCCTGCCGGAGAGCCTGTTAAAGAAGAACCTATAATCCTAGGTAACGACCTAGAATTGCCTATCGACGACATTCTTAACAATATTGTTAACCGTCGATATAGCTAACTAGCCTTTAGTCCCTAGCTAGTAGCGAGACTTTAAGAAGCTACCTAAAACAGGCTTACTACCTTGCGTTAAGAACAATAGCTAAAGGATAATCTTCTCGAGATTCGCCGCCTCTAGGAATCTCTAATAACTACTGCTAAGCTAACAGTAGGACCTTCTTTACTACCTGTCTAAAAGAAGGATACTAAGCTTAAGGACTATACCGTATTTAATGGCTCTAGTCGTAAGCAATACAATAATTATATACGCGATTGTAAGCTTAACTAACGAAATGCACCGAGGGCCCTTCTAGATAACTATTCACTAGTTGTCTACGCTATGCAGTATATCAATAGCGACCTAAAGCGCACATAGGATAACCATTTCGACTCCCTTAATGACTAGACTGCTGTTTAGTAGCAGACCTATAAAACCATTATGCTAGATACCCTTAGAAACCCTATACTAAGGCAATAATATGCTTAGGACCTGTATCTTCGAGCTAAATAGAAGACTAATCAATCGGCTCGCTCATTTGAAGCCTATTTAAAAACCCTTAAAGACGACCTTCCGGCTAAGACTAATTCTATATAGATCTCGGAAATACGCCTAAAACTTAGATAGGAACTTATCCTCGAATTAGACCGTCGCCGTATATTCGAACAAGCTAACCTAATACGTATTCAATTCATAGTTGAAGTGGAAACAGCTAAACGAGCTGTTTAGCTTCAGCAACGACTAGAATCAAGGATCCGACTAGCTAGTACTAACCGTAGTAGCCGTAGTAGCCGTAGCGGAGGAAACTAAGGTTCCTACTAAGACAACAATGCTAACAATAGAAATAGTAACAACGACCGTAGAAGAAGCCGTAGCCGACGGCTATATAGAGGAGGCCGTAATAGGGGCCGTAGAAGGGGCTCGTATCCCTACAATGCTAACCGCTCGACTAATAATAGCAGCAACAACAGCTATAGTAACAATCTCCCGACCGGATTGAAGTGCTTCAATTGTAATAGCACTAGCTATCTACTAGGCCAATGCGACAAACCTAAGGACTAGGCCCGAATTAACCGTGCTTCCGCTAAGTATAGGAAACACCTTTTAGCCGCTAATGCTACCCTAGTCGGCTCTTTCAATTAGTCGAAAAAAGAGTAAGCGCCGCACTAACTGTTAGCCTTGTACGGCGTAAGACTATCGACATTGTACTAGCTATAACACGCTCCTGCCTTGTATAGGACACGAAGGGCACTACCTATTAAACTAAGGTTATGCTAGATCTAGGAAATTCAGTCAGTGCCCTTATTAGCTATCGCCTAGCTAAGCAATTAGACCTTCGATAACTGCCGAAGACTAACCTGCCAACCCTTGCTTAGTTTAATAACGCTCGGCACTTAACCTATAGGGCCTACTATGTTCCTATAGCTCTAAAGGACGACCTCGGAAATGAACGCCTACTAGACTTCACTGCCTACGCAGTAGACATAGACAGCCTCCTATCCGATATTGTTATTAGTAACCCTATTCTTAAGTACTACGCTGTGGCTATAGACCTAGGCCTCTAGAAGTAGCGATTTAGAATCGCTAGGAAAGAGGACATTAAACACATTAATATTAGCGAGTGCCCTAACGATATCAGGGTCCTGTTTATTAGCAACCTGACACCTGCCCTAGCTAATCCGACTACCGACCTGCTCGGTAGTAATAACGATAAACCTACACCCCCTAATAATCCTAATTAGCTTGCTCGCATACTAGAGCCTATCCGAGAGACCTATATTAATATGTTTGAACACTACCTAGCATCGACATTGCCTATGTTCAAGGAGACGGATTATAAGATTAATATTATAAAGGGCAAGGAGGTTCCTTTTGGCCCCCTCTATAACCTTAGTAAGCGAGAGCTTGCTATGTTGCGTAAGTACCTAGAGGAAAACCTAGCTAATAGTCGAATTCGGTATAGTAACAGCCCTGCTAGTGCACCTATCCTATTCGTACTAAAGAAGGATAGTAGCCTACGCCTATATATCGACTATCGTAGGCTTAACGCTGTTACTATTAAAGACCGCTGTCTACTCCCCCTTATTAATAAGACCCTCGATCGCCTTTCTAGGGCTTACTACTACACTATACTAGACATTAAGGATGCGTACTATCGTATCCGCATTCGTAAGGGTAACGAATGGAAAATAGCCTTCCGTACTCGCTATAGCTATTTCGAATACTTAGTTATGCTATTTAGCCTAGCCAATGCCCCTGCAACATTCTAGTCCTATATTAATCGAGCCCTTTTAGGCCTATTGGACTATCTCTGTATAGTTTACCTAGATAACATCCTAGTTTACACACATTCACCTAATATTACAGAACACTAGGCCGTAGTACGTAAGGTCCTCGACCGCCTGCGAGCCTATAAACTGTATTATAAACCTTCTAAATGTACCTTTGCTACTAAGGAGGTGTCCTTCCTTAGCTTCCTCGTATCAACTAAGGGTATTAAGGCTAATCCTGATCGGATTAAAACTATTACTAAATAGCCTGTTCCTACGTCAATTAAGGAACTATAGTCGTTCCTCGGCTTCGCTAATTTCTATCGTCGCTTTATTA